ATATATAGTGGGTTTTTGCTTGCAAAATCCTTATCAATGGAATGATTTTAGCAGGATGTATTAGATTGTCTAAAATTGGTTAGGTGGTAAAATCAAAGTAACATAAACGGAAGGCGAAGGTTGGGTGGGCTCACACCTGTAATCCCAGTACTTTTTGGGAGACTGAGGCAGGTGGATCACCTGAGTTCAGGAGTTCGAGGCCAGTCTGGCCAACATGGAGAAACCCTGTCGTCTACTAAAAATTACAAAATTAGTCGAGCATGGTGGCACATACCTGTAACCCCTGCTACTTTGGGAGGCTGGGCCATGGAGGAACTCCTTGAACTCGACCACAAACACCTCTAAGAGACCTCATATGTTTATCTGTTTGTCTGGGCCACAGTGTGTCCTAAGGGGAAAGTAAGAATGAGCAGGTGCTTTTGCAGGCCTGGGTTTTCCACTGTTTTGTCTGCATCTCACAATTATAACTAAAATTATGAGTAAAGCATGATACTGGGTGAAATCTCTGAGGATGCTTGTGATACTGATTTGACAATCCACTCCTTTGTGTTACCTTCTTGAAGAACTGGTTAAGTTTTGTCCACATAGATAATGAGAAATATACATACAATTATATGTATAGAAGCAAACACTCCTTGCCTTTCATCTTATAGCCCAAGTTATCATTGTCCCTCTCATATATCTAGGAACCTTTGTTGTACTTGAGCAGACTTTTGCGTCTGTAGGCCTTGGGCCTTCTTTTCCCACTAGATCTGCTCAAAGCTTCGCCACCCTCATACCAATGGATCTCAGGACTCAATATATAAATATCCCAAATTATTCTGCTTATCTTATATGCAGGGGCTATTTGGGGATGCATGTCAGAAAAAGAAATGTGTTGTTGGGGCTCAGGACACATCACCTCAAAATATGATAGCAGGAGACTAGATATATGTCCCCTCGAAATATTTTTCTTTGTTGGCATGTTTCAAACTGATTATTTTGAGAAACTGCAAACACAAGAGTTGTTCATGTGAAAGCTGCCCTTTTGTAAAGGAAAATTACATCTGTAAAGGAAATCTAAATTAGTAAAATTATCTATATCACGAAAAGAGCTGCTCCTAAACAATTTTTCCCCTGAAGGACTCTTATTTACATAGCAAGAAAATCTTTATTCAACATGTATTTCCTCACCTTCACCCTCCCACAACCTGTCCCTATTCCAGAAACCGCCTC